AACAGCTAGTATTAATAATAATAATACGGCTAATTAAAATGTAATTCTGTTCTGTTACTATTTTAGTTGTAATCTTAATAGAGAAGTTGGTCAATTTACTTTATAGTCTTTTTACCCACAACCTATACACTAGAAACATTTACTCATTATTCGCTATAAAAATATCTTTTACTATCTAAGTGTTAGATATTTCGACACAACTGATTACTTTAAAATACACAAACTGAACTCCAAGGCGACAACGTAAAGATATTGAACCGTGGTGACGACTAGAAAAACACTGAGCTTGTTGGCGACTGAGCGCCGAGACTGCGACTGAGCACCCGAGCCACTCCCTGCCTTGCATTTTATAAAACTACCCCCCACTATTCCTTCAGTTTCCTAATTTTCCTAACATTATTGTTGTTTTAAATAAAGGTAAATAGTATTGATAAAAAGCACAGATTAACGAATAACTTTTAAGACTACAGAATATATCATAATAGGTAAAAAGCTAACATAAGATTTGACATGTTTTGAAATGTCAATAAAGCTGTTACTTAAAATTCATCACTCTCGTCTACGCCATTTGTGTATTTAATAGCCTCATGTCAAATATGATGCTGAGTGACCGTTTTAACGATAGTAATATTACTAACGATGTGTTAATTATCTTAATGACGTCATAATGATTGTCGAATGTTATGACGTCATAATGATTGTCGAATGTTATGGAAACTCTCATCAAAATTGACTAATTCATGATCGTGATTGTTTTGGTTACGTTTAATGATTTAATAGTGGTAGAGCCCGCTTTAAAATCGCACAAATGGGTCAGCTCGCCCGGTATTACCACGACCACACAGAAGACAGGCGTGAAGTGGGAGCAATTCCGCGTTTCGTCTGATGAGTGTGGTGCCGAGGCCTGATTTTAGTCCCTTTTCCTTCCCACCCTTTTTCTTAGTAGAAAAGCATGGGAAGGGAACGTAGATTTGATGGTGCAGGAGACCTATAGAAAGGGGAAATATCCTCTTTGTGTGCGTTTCTTCGGTCAATTAAGGGTGGGCAACGCATCTGCAATTGCGGATGTTTATGGGCAGCGGTCGCTTTCCATTTCGGTGGATTAAGGTGGCCGCTCGCTCGTTTGCCACCTTATTTTATAAAAAAATGGAATCTCTCATCGAAATTGATCAATTCATTATCTTTATTGTTTTGTTAACGTTTAATAATGATTAATTAGTTTTCGAATTCAATATTATGACCGTGTAAGGTTATCGCATATATTATTTGTAATGGTTCTGTTTAGCGGTTTACTCCGTTTTAATTGTTTTGTGGTTTACCACCCGATATTAGAGCTGTTACACTCGTGTACTACGATCAAATATCAATGAAAAAATTCTTACTGTCAACAAAAATTACTTAGAAACTAATATGAGTATAATACGACATCCGCGTGACATTAAAATTTTCAATCTGTACATATAATAAAATTGGAGTGTCTGTTTGTAATATGAAAAGATAAATTTTAGATTTCGGGAAGATGATGTATTTGCGATGCTGATAACGAAAATCGCAATTAAAAAAAAACATGTCTGTCTGTCCGCAAACTGCGTTTGTTCCGGGTAATCTCCGAAACGGCTGGGCCGATTTCAACAAGACTTTCACTGACGGGTAGCTGACATAGACGGGCATATTATAGACTACTTTTTTTTTAATTCCGCGCTATCAAAATGGCGTAAAGGGTGGTCCAAATTTGGGCTAACAAGGTTTGCAGGCTACAGCTTGTATCAAAATGAAAACGAAAGGATTTGGCATTGGAGAACAATTATCGTTACCATGACAACATTGTCTGATTCATGTTCTCAGTCTGTAGTTTTGGTCTCTTTTCCGTATGATGGTATTTTCCAAATCATTTATTCCCTAAGTTTAATAGCGTGAAAATGTAGGTCTTTTGATTAATAAAAGCATTATACAAAAATATGTTGTGATTGCTGACATCATACATAACTAAGTAGTGTGGGTTTACGCTTTAATATATTGGTATAGGTAAATATTTCGACTGATTGTAACAAAGGTAAAACGCGTTCGTACATTGTGAATATAATGTACATAATATACCTAATATATTCGCAATAAAGCTTTCAAGTTCGACGTACTCATAACAACAGTAAATATAATTCATTGTGTTTTAACATTTTCCATTGTATTGTGTTTACCTTGCAAAGATGAAATGAATTTTTTTAGGAATACTAACAATCTAGATTTATATAGAAACCGTTTCAAGTGTGAATTGTTAGTTGTTATTTAGAATTTCGTATTTACCTAGACTTTTAATATTTAAGACATATCAAATGCAACACTCGAAGACATTTAAATCACAGATAGACGAGGCTTAGTTAAAAAAAATCACCGATACTTTCACCTAATGTCCTTGTATTCGCATGGAATAAAATATTACAAATTATAATATAAACAATAAATACTAGCTTTCGCCCACGACTCCGTCCGCGTGGAGTTAAAAAAACAACGCTAAGTAGCCTATGTGTTTTTCCAAACTATGTTCCAGATCTATGCCAAATTTCAGGCTTCAAACACTACCAAACATCCATCCATCTAAATTTTCGCATTTGTAATATTAGTTAAATTATTTAGACTTTTGGTAATTGAAATGTAATAATTTATGTTAACATGTTGTTTTGAGGATCTATCGATAGATGCGTTAGTGATGATCATGTGAATAGTATCAAGTAAAATGGCAACTATGCCTCCTCTATATATTTGATTCTCTTTGGCTACACTGTACCCTCTGAATATTTATTAATCTACACAAACATTCCTTATTTACTCATTGAATGAAAAAAAGGTAAGTTAATCTTTGATACAAATGACGAGAGTTAATCGTGTAAGGGGAATGCGACCGGCCGGCGGGTACACAGTAATGCTTTTACCATCGCTTCCATAAGCCTTCTCGATGAAAAATAACCACACGCCGTGTCAATGTCACATCAACCGAAGTGACCGGAGACGTGAGAAACCTTCATAAATTATTCACAAATGTATACGTGGCGTAAATATTTCTCGACTTATCAAAGGGAATTTTTTCATTACTCTTATATCAGAAAACATTGTGAGTTACTCCGGTTTATTGTGATTAAAGTTAACCTACATTTAATAGTGTTAATTACAGCATTAACCGTAAAGACAGTTATTTAGACAGACTATTAAATTACGTTTATTATTAAGATTTTTTTTAAATTAAATCCATGTGCTAGAATCTTAAAGACATTACACAAATTAATAACAGCAATACAATGAATATCAAACGATATAAATCATTGAAAATATTAGATAAAAAGTAGATGTAGTAAGGCTAAATATAAACTCACATAGTAAAAGAATTAAATTCGCTACCCACTATGAGAACTATATTTTAACACGTATGTATTATGACAAGCTTTCTATCTACGAGTAATTGCATTAATTCCAAATGATATTTTACCGAATTGGATATGAAATAAAATTCCTCAACTCGATGGAATGTAAACACGTTTTTTTAAAGCGCGTGATCTGTGTGCGAGCGGCACTATCCATCAATGTTCAGTTGGTATTCGGAATTACCGAGTGGAATTTAAGGCTGCGACTTCAGCCGACTGCATGATTGAAAGGGTAGTTTTATCCATGTCTACTCCAGGACATAGCTACACGTACATCCCTAGTTTATAGTATACTGGCTGTTGTTCGCCACTTCGTTCGCATGGCATAAAAAAAAAAACAAAAAAACATCTCTCAGACTTGACATTTTTCAGGGATCAGTCGTATTCCATTTTTTACTCCAGACTGTGTATTATATCAATGCAAATTTTAAAAAGATAATTTGAACTGTGGCAGTATTATCGAGTAAACGTGAAAAAATAAATTTAATGTAACCCACGGGAACCGTAACTTTTTCCGGGATCAAAATTATCCAAAATGTTCTTTCAAATCCTCTACATCTATACCAATTTCATAGAGATCCGTTCAGCAGTCAGCCTAAACATCCATCCATTTAAACTTTCGCATTTATTTTTATTCATTCTCATAGAACAAAAGTTATAAATGTTACAATTAAAAAACAAAATTGTTTCATCCGCCGCAAAGTTTGTCATATTTATTAATACGCGTTTTTTGTTTATGTTTGTCAAACAAATTGCACATTTATCACTTCTCAAATAAATGTAACTGGCATAGCTTTTCATTTACCTTCAAATATGCATTTTGTACATTCAATTTTTAAAATGTATTTACCGAACTACTAGTTAGTTCGGTAAATATACAAAATAAATAAAATAATCACTTCTTCTGCGGGACTGGCGAGCGGGGATCGCTTTTTGTTATTTATTTTTAATCAATTATTAGCTTTCTATAGAGGACCTAGCACGAAAATTTTCGAAACAATTATGTCAAAATTAGTATTAAATTAGTTTTCTAGTCGGTGTGAAAAATGTTACCAATATTATTGTTTGCAGCCTGAACTGATAAACGGATCTCGATTAAATTTGGCATAGCTGTAGATAATAATTTGGAAGAACACATAGGTTACTTACATACTTTTAAATTTCACTCGGACGGAATCGCGGGCGAATGCTAATTTCATATTAATATTGTCAACGGCATTACGAAAAAAACGCAATAATTTTCGTGCTAGCCCTCTGTTATTGCATCCATTAACCATCTGTCTTTACACTTATTGGTGAAGTTTTATTTCTTCGACGGAGCGTAGTAATGAAAACCTAAAGTCGTATAGAAAATGGGTACGAAGATTAAGGTTTGGCTTAATTCTGATATGTTAGGCTATACATCAACAAACACTAATAGAAGGTAGCAGTGGCCCCAAAACGTCATTATTTAGTTCAATTTGCAGAATTAGCTTGATAAATGTGTTTGAATTACCGTTTTCGTAGACGTGCGCGCGCCGTAGAGCGGTCTCGTAGCGGAGACAGTGTGTGTTTGAGACCCGCGCGCGTAGCACGTCTGTTGTGCTACGTGGGAGCTTACGATCGTTTGGACATTGTCGAGTTGGTGAAAGGGTTAAGTGTAGTGTTGTGAAATAGTATTACGTTTGAGGTAAGAATTGATTAGTATAACGGGATTTTTTTTTACTTTAATTGAGAAATTAGCTTTTTATTTATGTCCACTTTTGATGAATTATGTTTATAAGATCTTAGTGCATTGTAACGCCATTTAAAAATAGATATTTATTACGTTGTATAGTGATTTTAATTTAAAAAAAATAGTTTAACTCCTTAGAGATATAAAGATATGAAAAATGTGTAAGATTAACTGAATTATAATTTATTTATATAATTATTAGTATTTATTTGTAAAGATAAAGTGTTTGAATTTATCTATAACTACTGTTGTATGGTAAAGGTCCTCTGATAAGTAACATAAAGTGCGCAATTAAATTATTTATCTCGATCTCTGAGAAACGTTCAGATTTACATTAAACAATACCAGGAAATCTCACTATCAATGTAAGTCGCTCTTTTTGTTTGAATAATGCATTACCGTTGAACGGAATACTTGCGGTGGAGGATTTTATATTTTTTTTTCTTCACTTTATTGTCATTTAAGTTCTAAATCTTCGCTATTCTTCAACTTTAGACTAAATTTAAGCTTGAAATCTTAAAACTTTGATACTGCAACAGTAACAAATAAATATAATTTTGATTATGAATGATTTAAATTGCTTTGAATTACAAGTTGTTTACGTACTCTAGATTACTTCTTGACGCTTATGGAAGTTATAATTTTTATCTAATAACACTAATAACTATTAATAAGATGTTATCTCTTAGTTAATAAAACATACTTTATGATTTTGTTTACTAAAGATATAATTTGATTTAATTCTCATACAACAATGTTCAACACAAAGTATTATGGGAAATGTATTTTAATCATATAAATTACTAGATGTCGTGACGTGCGCGTGGCATAAAAAAAGGAAAATACTTAGCCTATGTTTCTAAGGTTACATAGCTTTTTAATGGTGCAAGAATTATTAAAATTGACCCAGTAGTTTTTGAGTTTAATACATACAAAAATACAAATCTTTCCTCTTTATAATATTAGTATAGATATCTCTTGAATAAAATAACTTGAGAATTTGTAAGTCAGATAAAGAACGAATTATACAATCTTAGCGTACGACTAAAATTCACATAAACAACAAAGTAGAGATCGCATAAAATTGGATTGAAGAACTATAAAACGAACACCACTAAAATAATTTAAAATTTGGTGTTGTGCCAAGCTGACACTTACAGCGCGGCATACACATGTTTCGGTTATGACGTCGCTCTGCAAATAAACGCTGCCCAGTTAAATCACATAAAACAACTTAAGTGTACACGAATACTGAAGTTATTACTTCGTACATATACGTCATTTAAGTACATTACAGAATAAAACGAAAGTCCTAACGTAAATAACAGACTAGCTGTTGCTCGCGACTTCGCCTGAAATTAAAAAAGTAATAAAAAATATAACCTATGTTACACACCGATAACGTAGCATTCTAATGGTGAAAAATTTTTCAAATCGATCCAGTACTTTTTGATTCATATCAATACAAACAAAAATACAAATCTTTATAATATTAGTATAGATTGTGACAAATTTTAAAACGACATGTAAATACTAACTTTCACCCGCGACTCCGTCCAAGTGAAATTAGAAAAAAGTAAATTATAGGTTATGGCAAATTTTGTCGAGATCCGTTTACCAATTTAGGCTACAAACTTATCAAACATCCATCTTAACATCGTATTTATGATATTAGCAAGATGATACACAAAAGTCACCTTGGACATTATTGAATACGTTGCCAAATTAGACGAAAGATAATTGTAATGTATCAAAATAGAAAATGACCTAGTATCGGATATTAAATACATCGCTCGTTAGAATGTTCTACTCAATCAAAGGAAGTATTAAAAACATAATAATTTTGTCTTTTATAATCGTCTTGACTCACAATCAGAATCAGTAGTAGGTCTACAATATGCCAATCAAGCATAAAAACACTTACTCGAAACACAATCTCGCAGAATTTAAGTATTAGTATGAAAATACATTTGTCTCTCTTTTTCATATTGGAATGTAAAAGATGACTATATGTTTTACGTTAGTTTCAATGTAAATCTATCGCTATGGAGCATACTTCGCTATTTCCTGGTTATAACGAGCCGCTCGTTGTCGTCTGTCGGAGCTGTCATCCGACAATTGCTGTAGTGTTCCACAATTGGTTCCAGAAGTGATGGAAGAAGATATAATTCATAATATTTTGTCCTATATGGAGATACTGTAACAGTTTAGTATTTTTTTTTACGGAGAGAACAGTAATTTAAAACAGATGATGTATGATAGATTTTTGTCGAAACGAAATCTTGTTGGCCTGACCCTACAGAAGTAGGATAAGGGGAGGAAGGTGATGATGATGATGATGATGGTGATAATGAGAGAACAACAATTTCAAATTACTAGTAGTTGCTCGCAACTTCATCCGCTTGTAATTAAAAACAATAAAAACAAAACCCATGCTACTTACTGGTATCGTATTTTTAATAGTGAATGATCGTTTGAAATTGGCCTAGTCATTTTTGAGTTATTCCAATACCTAAAAAAATACAAATCTTTCATATTTATGATATTAGTACAGTTTTAACTGGGATAACATTTTTTGTATTTTATGTACTGTGTACTACAGCATCCATCGTTTACCTTCATTTTTACTTTTTGAGTATTCTGAGATAGTCATATATCACATTATTTCCTCCAAATATTATTTGTACATACAAATTATGCTTGAAATTTTAAAATTAAGCTTTTCATGCGTAACAAATTTCATACAAGATTAATGAATATTTTCGATCTATGAGTTCGCAAACATCGTCGCAGGTGATTAATCAAAGCTGTCACTTGCCTCAAGTGGGCAATAAACGTCCAATGATGTTAGCACGTAGATACAAAATAATTTGCATTCTTACAATATCAATATACATTTAAGATATATGTAATATTAGACAACTTATTTAATTGATACTGTCGCTTTAAACTCAGAGCAACACTTCCAGTCAAGACTCAAGTTGCGTGCGAATCTATCCATACTTCTAATGACATTGACAGCTGTCAGCTAGGGACGTGATTATGCCGATAATCTAGAGTTGTGCCAACTCTACAGCACGGTACTAGTTTTGTTCTTAACAGTAACTATAAAGCGTGCGCCATACAAGAAAGTATACGCACATATTTAGTCTCGCTTTGATTCCTATAAGCTTAATGGGGTTACACTAATCGATTTTTAATTGTACAAATATTTGAATTGTCTGCGAAACAATCGACAATCGCACAATTGTGTGCAAATTAAAGGTGTGTGCCCTCTTTTAAATGAAATTTATTGGTCTAATTAATTTATTAAATTTAGAAAAGCATCTTTGAATGCGGAAGTATGGCAGCGGTCGCTATTTTAGCGAATTCCTCGTTTATCACTGATACTAGCACTATGATAACTTTTGAATCTAATAGTATTGTGATTTTAATGAGATTTACCGATGGGTAGGAAATAAACGTCCCCAACTGTACACGTTAATTGCCACAAATTAATTGATTGAAAGGAACGTCGGTGGCTCAGTAATTTAAGCACTTGACTTGTAATCTACAGGTCTTGGGTTCGAATCCCGGCGTGTACCAATGTGATTTTCGATTTTTCGAATTTTCATATGTACATAATTTACCCGACCTTCTTACGGTGAAGGAAAACATCGTGATGCAACCTGCACATATCGGCGAAGAAACTCAAAGATATGTGTGAAGTATGGCCTAATCACCCTAATTTAGGGTAGGCTCCGAGCCCCTCGGTGAGGACATTTAGTGAGCTGGTGATGATGATGATGATGAATTGATTTCAAAAATATCTACAAATATCTACTTACAGTGAAACAACAACTTGGAGAACTTTAAAATTATTTTATACTTGTTGATAAAAAGTTCGTCGTTGGCTCCTGATGTTCCGCGAAGTTTTGTTGTTTTTTTTTATCAACTTATTTGCGACATTTACAGCATAAGTTTGGAGTATTCATCGTATCTGAAATTAAATTAATTTTGTAGTCATGAGATTTTTATACGCGGTTTTTTGTCTTGTAATTTACTTTCGTTCAAGGAAGACTTTATAGTCTTGCCAATTATTTGTACATTATGACAAGTATTATAAAATTAGTGTACAAGAAGGTTGAGGACATTTCCTAGTAAAATATCTTAAGGTATGCTGACCCTATTCGTCATTAAGAAAGAGTTGTAACATATTTTTAAACCGCGACCGACGAGAAAAAGGTAGACAGTTTAGGTCCCACAAGAGATTTCTAAGAGCTCATTTGGCTAATTGAAACCTAGAATTCAGGTTACATTCCTGTTAACGTATGTTATTTTTAGACTCAAATGTCAGCCCGCTTATGTCCTTGTTCTCTCGTATGGTGCTACACTTGACTTAGTTTTCTGGTAACGAGCCCGCTACGGAAGTTCTTGTCTTAAAAATGAATGCAAACTTGTCAGGTGCTAAGTTGATAGGCTATTACAATATACCAATGGTTCGCAAGAACATTCTTAATGTGAGACATTTAATACTATGGGCTGTCCCACCACTGGCTGATAGACGCTCAGATAGCTTAACAGTGACGTTTCTGTGAGATAAGGTAACAAAATCCGATATTTCCATAGCACATATTACCCGTTGGATTGTTATCAGACAATTTACAATTTAGTGGGACAGGCCATAAATATACTACGTCTTAATTGACAAGGCCACGATTAAAGTCTAAATTCCATTAAAATTATGAAATTTGACGTCTGTCATATTGTAAGCGGCGCTTAAAAAGAAAAATGTTAGGCTTCGATTCAGTATTCAGCCGTATTATAGAACCAATAATGTTACTAATGTTAGGTTTAAATGCGAAAGCTTGGATGGATGGGTGTTTGTTAAAGTTGGTCGCCTGAACGGCTAAACGGATCTCAGTGAAATTTGGCTCAGATGTAAAGTCTGGATGAATACATAGGCTACTTTGTTT